AACTTTTAAAAAAGTATAAATTATTAATTTTTTGATAAAAAAATTTAAAGTATAAAATTTAAATACCTTTATAAAAAAGTAAATACAAATGACTTTGAAAAGATAAAATTAGAAAATAATAGTGAATTTACAATATTTAATTAATATAATTAGTTATCTTAAGATGTTTAATAGCTATATTTTAATTAAATTATATCTTGAAAAGAATTAAACTTTTAAGAAGTATGCTGTGAATAGAAAATTTTACTTTTATATTAGTGATTTATTTGTAAATTAAAAAAAGAGAAAATGATTAATATCAAAATTTATAATTATGGTTGATTAAGAAATTAAGTAAAACTCTGTTAAATTAGAAGAGTTTATTATTAAATAATAAAATTATTAATATTATAGAAAATTTAAAAATAGATAAGAAAGAGTTAATAAATAATAAAAATATTTAAAAATGAAATAAATTATTTTAATTAAGTTAAAAGATATTAAATAAATACTTAATAAGAATAAATAAAATTAAATGAAAAAAGTAACTTAAAACAGAGTGTAATAAAAGAAGTTAAAAAATATGTTTTTATCTCAAAAATTAATAAATTTAGAGGTTGATAATTAAATTTAGAAGTATTTTATTTTTAATATTTTTATAGAAAAAAATCAAAGTTGTTAAAAATAATTTAAATCTAATAAGAAAATTGTTTTGAATATTCACAATAAAATTTATAAAATTTAAATTTTATTATTCATAAAACATATTATTATTTTTAAATTTTAAGATATCTTGTAATTTAATGTTAATCTTTAATTTTTTATAAAATTAATTTACTTTAGTTTTAATATTCATATAAAACCAATAACTTATTTATCAATTAACTTTTTAACTGTTTTAATGTTTAACAAATATAGAAACTATTTTTTATAAAAAAGTATATTAAAACAACAACAATTTATTTTTGAACGTCCCAGCCATTAACGTTTCTCTAATTAAATGAACTACCCCTGTTGTTAGGGTTATTACTATTTGTATATCCAGAGACAGCATCTCCTATAATTTCATCTTCAACAATTTCCTCCTCTTCATCATCTTCATCCTCATCATCAAATCGATAAGCCCATGGTTTAAGCTTGTTCCCAGCTTTAAAAATTCTTACTTCTACATTTGGACTAAAACTTACTTCTTTTTTAGCTTTTTCTTTTTTATTACATACAATCTTGTTTTCTTCAATATAATCAATATTTTCAAATTTTTCTTCCTCTGTTCTATCTGATATATTTGATATCTCTGAATTTTCTATTCTGTCTAAATCATCTCTTTCATCATCATACGTCTGTTTAAAACCTACCAAATACACATTATTATTTATATCAAAATACTCTGAATTACTTTGTTTTAATATACTTTTTATCTTTCCTTTTGTATCTTCTTGATTTAATTCAGGTTCAACTTTTTTATCCTTGTATATTTCTAAACACTGTTCATTAATATCTTTTTCAGTTTTTATTTCTTCATCAATTACTTCTTTATGATTATTATGTTGATCATAATCAAACTTTGTACTAATAATTTTTTCTGTAGGTTTAGATTCCAATGTAACTTTGTTTTCAATTTTCTCTAGTTTTGTTTCATTAACAGTTTCCTTTTTATCACTAATTGAATCATTCTTTATAGATTGATGTTTTATTAAAACATAATCATTGTTAATGTTTGAATCAAAAACAACTTTCTTCTCACTTAAATTTTTAATATTTAAATCTTTATAAACATTCTTTTCTTTTATTTTCGGATAATTTTGTAGAAACACGTTTCTTGCTTTATTAAAAGTACTATTTAAATTCAAATTATTATTTGTTTTTTCTTCTTTCTTATTATATTCATTTTGTTTAGTTTTATTTTTTCCTTTCAAAATTTCTGTATCTAGATCAAAATTAGTCTTTTTTTCTTCTAAATTCTTATTATATGCTATCTTACCATCAATATCTAAATTTTTATCAATAAACTTATTTATAACTTCTTTATCATTTAATTCTTCTTGTTTAATTTCTGAATTACTTTCTATTTTTGATTCTTTAATTATACTTTTATTCTTATTATTTTCTATTCTTAATTCTTCAATTATATTTTGATTCTTACTAACTTTTTCTTTATTATTTAATTCTACCTGTTTAATTTCTGAATTACTTTCTATTTTTGATTCTTTAATTATACTTTCTATTCTTGATTCTTTTATTACATTTTCATTCTTATTATTTTCTATTATTGATTCTTCGATTATATTTTGATTCTTACTATTTTCTATTTTTAGTTCTTCAATTATGTTTTGATTCTTACTAATTTTTTCATTATCATTTAATTCTACTTGTTTAATTTCTGAATTACTTTCTATTTTTGATTCTTCAATTACATTTTGATTCTTATTATCTTCTATTATTGATTCTTCAATTATATTTTGATTTTTACCAATTTTTTCATTATCATTTAATTCTACCTGTTTAATTTCTGTATTACTTTCTTTTATTACATTTTTATCATCATTAATTTTTTCCTTATTTTGATATTTCTCAATCATTTTAAAAATAATTGCCTCTGATGAATTTTCAAATAAAATTTCATATATTCTAGTTAAAATTGGTGATTTTCTCACTATCGAATCATACTTTACAAATTTATCGTGACACAGTGGAATATTATTTACATAACCCTTCATCATTGCTGCTATCTTTAACTTATATACTATCAGTGATTTAATCATTGATTCACAATCAACTGCATGCTCTGTTTCAAGTCAACTGGCTGGTTTATATACTTGAAAATATAGTATGCTCTTCCTTCAATCTTATTGATAAAATACTCAATATCTTTAACATTGAAGCTTAATGACTTTGCTATATCTTTTATAATACTGATCATCCCTGACATCTTTATGTTAAAAGGGGTTAATTTTTTTTATATACTACCTCATAAATTTGGAGGGAATAGGGCGTGCATAACATTTTTGTATTTACATAAAAACTTTTTTAATCATTTTCTTTACTATAAATATACTTTTTAAAAAAATATCAAAAAATTAAATTTTCTTTATTATAAATTTTGTATGAAATTTAATAATTGCATTGTATTTTTATTTGAAAATTTTATATTCATTAATTTTATATAAAAAAATTATCAAAAATTTAGTTTATTAAAAATATATTTAACTATTAATTAAATTTATAACTTATTTACTTTTATATTATTAACAAAGATAAATGTAAAATTTAAACCAGTTATATATTTTTTGAAATAGAAAAACTTTGTTTTCATTTTAACAGTATTTATTTACAATATTTAAAATATAAAACAAAAACATATTAATTTAGAGAAGTTATCTTTCTATTTGATTAAAAATTAAAAAACTTTTTGATAACTAATATAAAATCATTTATAATATTTTTAATCGAAGTATAATACAAAAATTATAGTTTTTAATAATTTTTTGTTAAATAACACAAAAAAATATATTTATTTAAATTAAAAAATATAGATAGAATCAACTTAATGGTTTATTTAAAGTAATTTAAAATTATTTTTTACTAAGTTAGTAAATTATTTAATAAATTTAACATTAAAACCAGCTCTTAGATTATTATTATTTTTTCTACAAATATTACTTTCAAATCTCACATGATAAGTAGTATGTCGTTAATTTTGTTTAAATATTTATTATTGTAGTGATTATTGAAATACTGGTTTCGTATTGTAAATTATGTCTTTTAATGTTATTTTTATTTATATTAAACAAATAATTTTCTATAAAAAGAAATATTTTTTCTTGTGTTTTAAAGCAATTTAAATTTTAAAAAAGTCACTCGAAACATGTTTTTTTCTTCTTTAATAAGTTTAAATATAAAAGTAGTAAATTTTTTGCATTTTATTTGATCTATTTATAAAATTATATTTTATAGTATTACATGTTAAACTATAAAATATAAAAGGTTAAGTTAAAAATAAGCATTTAATATCTATATTATTATAGATGATGATTTTTAATTTCTAAATGTATATTTATTTTCTAAGTTTTTTTCATTTATTTAAAGTATAAAAAAATTATTTTTTTTGCTAAACTATAATACTTAAAATTTTTTAATTAAATAAAATTTAATCATTTTAATTTCCTTATAAAAATTAAAATAAAGCATTGCCAATCATTTTTTAAAAACATATAAATTATTGTCACATCACATTGTGACAATACTAAAATGTAAAAGAAATATATGTTTAAAAGAATTTATTTATTAATAATTATCTTCAAT